GATCCGCACTGGAGACTTCCGCTATAAGTACACACAGGAGACCAGAGCCGAGGAGGATTCAAAAGAGCCGCGCATGCGCAAAACGCGCCGCGCCGCCAATACAAGCCCAGCCGTTATTTGCGTTATTTTAGAGTCCCGCCCTCCATCCCGCCCCCCGGCCCGTCACCGCACTTATCAACCCGCCTTTCTCAGGTCGCCCCGCCCTCCCAAGCAGCGCCCGGCCTTCCGGTGTGCAGTCTCTCCCTTACTCTGGTTGCCCCGCCTCTAGCCCGGCGCCCGCCTCTCGCCCGGCACCCCGCCCTCTGTTTTCTTCAACCACAGTTTCCTGTGTCCATGGCTGATTTTATTTGGCAAGTAGATGGAGCACTTGTGCACTTGAGATAAATGTATAATACATCCCAGCAGTTCAATTACTGATTAATAGGCAGTAGTAAAAAAGGATTAGAGAGCCGGGCGTAGTGAGTGAATGGGGGATGGGGGCTAAAGAGATGTCTCTGGTAAAAAGCACTTTCAGAGGAGCAAAGCTCGGGTCCCAGGATCCAAAGAGCCACTCACAACCCACTGTAGCTTCCGACCTCAACTGGCAGCCAAGCAAGCACGTGATGAATTTGTATACATGCAAACAAAACACCCATACCTATAAAGTAAATAATTGGTGGGGGGGGGAGGATTATTTTAGGATGATGGAGTTCCCTAGCAGCTGTTCTCATGGCTGCGCCCGCGTCTGCCGAGCTTTCAGGCCAGATCCGCTAGAGGGCAGCAGAGATGCTGCAAACCGAACAGGCCTGAGCTGTATTTTTTAATCCTAGTCTCCAGTGGAAAACTGTTGAATCCAGGCAACTTGTATTTTGTACAACACAACGACTAGATAAACCTCAAAGAGGAGTCAGATGATTCTGACAGCTGAAATAGAGTCTCCTATACTGGAAAAAAAAATGGGACTGTTATCCTCAAACATAACACTGTACTTCGTGGGTATTTCGAACAAGAGACTTGTGACCAAATGCAAAACTACGATGCTGAACTGTTTAACGTGTAGACAGACACTATTTGCTGAAGAAGCAGTTGAGAAAGAATCTACTCTAGAGAGTCAGATAAAAAATGTACAGGATAAAAATGGATTTTTGCTTCAAAACCGACTTGTGACCAAATGCAAAACTACGATGCTGAACTGTTTAACATGTAGACAGACACTATTTGCTGAAGAAGCAATTGAGAAAGAATCTACTCTAGAGAGTCAGATAAAAAATGTACAGGATAAAAATGGATTTTTGCTTCAAAACCTTGGGAACCAAGAAGCATGAGCAAACCTCTGAACTCCAGGAGAATAAACAAAGTTGTCAGTGAATCTTTGCGTCTTCCAGCTGCTAAAAACAAAGAGAACATCACTAATACAATTGTTTTAAACACTCTCGGCAGTGATGTCATCCACTATGAGTTGCAAGTGGACTCCCCCCAACTACCCCAATGCCCTGCTGATGCAGCTGCCAACTTTGAAGACCTGCATGCAGATGAAAACATTCTGTCGCCTAGAGAATATGAATCTCTTAAAAGTCCGTGTAAAGTGTCAGAAACGTAACATACTGGACAGCCACTGCTTCTGGCTGAAGTCGGCCAGGGAATGAGGAGAGAGTACCGCCAAGATGAAAGCATCTGTTTACTCTAGAGACCTCTTCAAGTGTACAGCTCAGAGAGCCATAAAGGGGAAGAGGGGGTAAGCTGGGACCTGGAATCCTTCACATCCTCAAAACCAGCTGAAGCACTTCACCTGTCTGACCTACAGGAACGTCAGTTCACAGAGTTTAATTTTGAATTCTGCAAAGGCAACAATCACTGTGTATATGATCAAACTCACCTTGCACATAAATGACTTCAAGATTTTCCTGATGGTGCCACAGGTGAAATGCCACACTATATCTTATGTTTGGATCATCTTTGATTATTTTTTAATTCAAAATTAGTATAGAAATCCATTATTGATGGCAAACTTCTCTTATAGGTAGTACATAAAAACAAGAGATTATGTAAAAAAAATATGTTTCAGAAATGAAACAATGCTGAAATAGGGAAAACTTTTCTTATATTGAAAAATATGTTAATGTGAGCAAAATGGAATCTGACTATGGGTCACATCTGATGTTAGAATAAAATTTCACTAATTCTGTGGCCAATGAGGGACTCTCTTAATCTAGGATTGGTTATAAAGAACAAGAATGTGTAATCACTAATTCATATTAAAACCCATCCACCATCAGGCATTCAACAGCTTACAGAAACTTCAGAGGAAGGGAGGGAGATTGAAGAACCATGTTCAAAGACACGGTGTCGAATTAAGCCACTGTTTCAACAACCATGAAGCAAATTGAAAAATTAGGAACCTGGTTATAATGTCAGTCTCTAAGAACATTTAGGCAACACAATCAGGAAGTCACCACAATTACAAAACTGCCACCTCACACACAGAAGCCTCCATAAATAACACACCAGTAAACATCAAGACTGCTCATTGAGTCTGAGTTCATGTCATATCACAGCTGTTATGATCCATACCGGCACAACTGATGTTCCCTGAAGAGGATGTCAACATCCATGAAGCTAGTGATCACACACTGCACCAGCCCATCACACTAACATGAAAACATCAGATGCTTAAGAACCATCCCTGCCTTTTCTTTGGTGAGAAAATCCAAAGGCAGCATAAGAATTAATTCTACTTTTCTACCTTGCCAATCACATTGATTCTCCTAATTCTACTTGGAAAATATTTTGGAAAATGCAGGGATTTTGTTGTTGTTTTCCTTTGTTTTTAACCATTCAGCTTCTACAGTAAAGAATGGCACACTAGGAAGGGTTGGAATGGATGTGAGGCATCAGTCTACTTTGCTTTCACTAGCAACGCCAACTAAATGTTCTTAAAAGAAAAGCATGGGCTTTTTTTGTGACCCAAATACTCTTGGAAAGCAATATTCTGAAAGGCTCATTGTGTCAGTAACTTGGGTAAAGGGGGAGTAAAGAAACCCTATGCTGAGTACCTACGGATCACTGGGATTCTATTACAAAAATTTTCATTTTCTATACTGAAATCACTTTTATCTTACTAGCATCAATAAAAACAGATTGGAAATAAGACTATGTGACTAATAACTCATTCATGTATTCTACTTGTTGTTAAAATTAAAGCTGTTTTGTTTGTTTGTTTGTTTGTTTTGGGGTTTTTTTTCCCAGGTGTCTGTTGTGTAGCTGTGGCTGTCCTGAAATTCATTTGCAGACCAAGCTGGTCTGAACTAAACAATTCTCCTGCCTCTGCCTCCTGAGTGCTGGCATGAAAGGCATGTGTCACTATGCCTGGCAACACAATTATATTCAATGCCAATATCTTTTAAATCTATCAAATGAATTATGCTGCATGTGCTAATCAATAAATATTAAGGGTCAGAAACTAAGAAACACTAGATGGGGACTGAACATTTCTATTCAGACTTACTGGCTTAAGTAATACTAATAAGCAGATAGTAATGAGTCCCAGTAACAGAAAGATTTCACCAGGCTCCTGAAAGATGAGTAAGACATTACCAAATAGATAACAGAAAGAAGGGCATGCAAGCACACAGAATAAGGAGCTTTGAGAGGAATGACCAAGGGCTTTGGGCCATCTAGGAACAAGAGTAAAGACTATAGCAGGAAGTACTTGTTTGTAAAAGACTTTGGTTGGCTATGCTGCTCCTGCCACAAATATTTAACGTTCAATGAAAGTCTCAAAAGTGGTAAGGATCTTTTAGACACTATGAAAGTGTCTTCATCAGTTTGTATTTGATGGGAGTGAGTAAAAATATTAATAATAATGGGGACTGATCAGTACATTTGATCTATCTGTAGTAGGATTTCTACTGCAGTAGTACCAGGGTACAATGGTGTTGGGAATCTGGACAGGTATAACTGGCTAATAATGTTTAAGACAGATTAACCATTAAGATAATGTTTAACTTTGGAGTTTTGAAATAGTTGGGGGAGATTGTTGGTTTTTGGTATTTTAAGGATTAGTCTTACTCACAAATCAACAGACCAAAAGAACATCGTTGTTTGATGAACTAGGTTTTATTATTTATTTATTGCTTACTGTTTAAAAGGTAGAAAAGACATAGGTAAGCAGATTTTTACTTCACAGGAATATCTCTGTCTAGGCCTGCTGAAATGACTCAGGAGGCTAAGGGTCATGCTGCCAAGCCTAAGGGCTTGAGTTCATGAGATACTTGAGCCACAAATTGTCCTCTGCCCTCCATACAAGCATTGTGGCATGTGCATATATAAACTCACGCACATGCATGCACACTAAATAAATGTCAAAAAATCCCTTCTATAGTTTTCTTAGAGTCTGTCTTTCTCTTTCCTATAAAATTCTATGGCCAAAACTAGGCCTGGTGACACAAGCCTTAATTCCAGCACTTTGGAGGCAGAAGTAAGTGGATCTCTGATTTTGAGATCAACCTTGTATAGTAGAATTTCAGGCCAATCATGGCTACAAAATGAGATCTGTTGTTAAAAAAATAAATAAAAACTCTCTATAGAAGATACACACACTCACACACACACACACACACACACACACACACACATTCTAGTGGATAGTCTGCCCAATAGAATCAAAACAATAATATTCAATGAATACAGTTTATTTAAGTCACATCTTTAAAATAAAGACAGAGAGCAATAAACAGTAATAAAAACTGGAAAGCCAAACATGCCTTTGGTGTCTGTCCTCAAGCCCATAGTGCCTGCACCTGTTCCTTTCATCCTTAGATGATAATCTGCTGTTTATTTTGTTACCATGAATCTACGCACATAAAGCCTGAAAAGAGATCACCTTTTAAAAGTTGGTCTGTGCCTGATCTTTCTTACTTCACAAGAAGTAAGGGGTGGTGTGCGCGCGTGTCCTGTTGGTGGTTAAAAAGCAAGTTGGGACTTCCTCTTTGAACAGTTGCCTCTCTGCTCACACAAGATTTCATCTTGTCTGAGGCTGGATAGAATTGAAAGTGAACCGAACGCCAAGGCCACGGGCATGATGGCTAAGAAGCCCCCAAAACCAGCACCCCGCAGGATCTTCCAGGAGAGGCTGAAGATCACTGCTCTACCCCTATACTTTGAAGGGTTTTTATTAGTCAAACGGTCTGATCACCAGGTAAGTCTGTAGATGAGAATGTTAAACATGAACGTTTTCACTTAATATAAAACTTGCTTCATGACAATGCCTCCTTGTGTCTCTCTGGATTATCCTCTTGCCTGAGTGAAGAGAATGATTCTAATTTTGAATAGTTTAAATAAAATGTATAGCTTAAACATGTGATATATATTTAAATATATAATATGTACACAAGCCTGCATGCATATGCATATATAAGCATGTTTAATAAGGTCTTTAATATTTAGCCATAATAGAAAAACTCAGTGAAATTTCCAGAGGATTCTTCTAAGCATCACATAAGATTTCGGCTTTCAAGATAATTTTTTTAATGTTTCCTCAACAATTAACTACACTATGCTTCAGTGGTGAGGAAGTACATGAAGATAAGTTGATTTTATGATGAATAATAACCTACTCCTACTCTCAGTCATACCAGTGTATAAGGATCAAATTGTAATAAGTGGTAAATTTCCATAAAATTGTGAAAATTTGATATTTACTTAATATTGTTTCATTAAGCATTCTGAAAATACTGTTCACATTACTGGCTTTAAAAGAGCATTTGGGATGATATTGCAAATAGTGAATACACTAATTATGTTTTTTAAAAAGTACTTTTGCTCTATGAAAACTCACAAAATTTCACATATTTTTAATGTAAATTTTCAAATTACAGTTATCAAAAAGTACTTCTTTTAATGTTGTAATTGATAACCATACAAAACTAGTTAGAGAAATGAACACAAAATCATGTTACTGAAAAAGTAAAGAAGACATTGGTGTAAGTAAAATTTTATGTATTGTTAATACTGGCTGAAGCTAGCAAAGTTTTGAGAGTTTACAGAAATAACAAGTGTTCAATGATGATAAGTCAAGGCTTCAGAGGATTCATTAATATTCATGAAAAATTATGAATGTGAAAATACTATAATAGTATGTTCAACTTTTCTATGTAGATGATAAAGACATTTGCCATTTGAAAGGTGGTAATTCTTGTTGGAGTTGCTAAACATTTCCTTGTAAATTTGCAAGCTATTTTGGAATTTGTGTTGTTGTCGTTATTGGTCACTCACTGTTGAGCTACATGGTTTTTCTTCACTAACAGCTGAAAGTAAATTTCTAGGCGGTAATTTAAATTTGGTCATTCATTGAATGTCTTTCTAGAGTGTCTCTAATAACTGTGTCTGATACCCAAGATCTCCATGTTTAAAGAAGGCATGTGTGGGTATGCTTGGCAGACAAAAATCCACAATGTTAAGGTAGCAGTAAACCATGCCTTCCTTCACTTGATGGCTTTCCACATACAACTTGTGACCTTGTAAAAATAACTCCACCATCTTGCCTGGTCTAAGTTTATTCAACTGCATAGGGAAAAAAAAGATTCTACTTGCCTAACATAATATATTATTATTTGTATTGTATTCTTTATTATTTCTGGGATAAGAAAGTTCAGTACTGAATCAATTTATTTTTCAAGCAGCATTTATAGCAGACCTTGTATGCATCAAACATGAGAAGAGGCTTAGCAGCTACAGTTTCTTATCTATCTCCTTCTCTGGTGTTTCTTAGAAAGCATACTTTAAAACAGAATGAACTATAATCTAGTATTTTTCATTAAGGGCCAGGGAATCTAGCTAAATGGTAGAGCATTTGTTTAAGACACATCAGGCTCTGGCTTCAATTCGAGCATGGAAACGTAAACAATTGTGATATGTGTGTATGAGAAAGCCAATTTGTTTACCCGCTTGAGTTTATTATCAAGTCCCTTTCTCTTGTGTATTAAGCAGGGGAGGAACTAGAGAATGGCAACAATGTCAAAGTATATGGTGTTTTCCAGGAGAGAAATGGTAACTATCTAAAACACCAGCTTCACACTTAAGATGAGATTCCTTTTCTTCTGATTTACTTATTTGCTTGCTAGCATCCTAAAGTCAGTTTGAGGTCTACAAATAAAATTGCTCAAAAGAACTCCACAGTATGGTTGCTCACAGACTTAAACATAGAAGTGATTAGAGAAACACTAGAGAAAATAATGGGATTTCCCTACAACTAGCAGCAAATGCCAGGGAGCATTTAGAAGCAAGGTGAGCTGAAAATGTTGCTGCCAAGTCAGCTGTGGAGTTCATGGCATGAATGACATACAGGGAGAGGCTACACAGAGATCCCTGCCGAAAACAAATTCAGAAGATTAAGAGGGAGAAAAATGTGGTTTAAGAGTAACATGTTCAATAAAAAAATTACAGGTCAAGATACTCTCATTGCAAGGGTTATTATTTTTATTTCTCTCATACATTACATTCCAACCACAGTTTCTTCTCCCTCCCCTCCCCTTGCCTCTCCATCCCACTTCCCCTTTTCCCCCAGATCCACACCCTCTCTGTTTCCCCTCAATAAAGAGCAGGCCTCCCAGTGACATCAAACAATCACAGCATAACAAGCCACAATGAGACCTGGCACAAACCATCCTATCAAGGCTGAAGGAAGCAACCCAGTACAAGGAAAAGGATCAAACAAACAGTTGCTGCGATCACTTTAAAAGAAAATGCACCAACACATGCTGATTTTAATACAATTCTAGAAGGACCCTGAATTTCAGGTCAAGAATCTATGAAAAGTATCTTTCAAGGGAAGATTTACTTGAATTGCAGCATTAGCATTTTAGATTGACAAGACGAAGTATTCAATAATTAAAATACAATCAAATACAAAATGCATGACAGTTTTATAAATCGGAAAAAAAAATTCAACTTTCCTGCAACTTTAATAACAAGAAAGTTCAGACAAGAGCCCATTGTTCTTTTGATCTGTGATGCACACAGTTTTAAAGAATGCAATATATCCCCTTAGCCTAAACATGAAAATGTGATCATCATTATGTATCTGGGTGTCACTTCTCTGATGGCCCTTACATTTATGAAACGTTTAGTATTCCCTCAGTTGTGTCCTGAAACACAATTCTCTATACCATAAAACTCAAAAAATTTAAAATAGCATGCCTCTTTCCAGGATAGCATTTTGAACATAGATATCCACTATGAGAACTGTGAGAATATGAACATATATATCCTTTATTGACATTCTATGTAAATTATTGAACATATACAAAAGGAACTAAGAAGAAATAGATTAATATAAGTAGGTATTCTCTGAGTTTCCCAATGGACCTTCTTGTACATTTTAGGTATGTGCCTGTCACTAATAGTTATGCTCCCTAAACAATGAACCTACATTTCAACTGCTTCTACAGCACTCTCCATCATCACAGTCCTAGCTCCAAAATACAGAATAACTTTGACCTACTGCTATCATTACAGGGGCTTCCTAACAAAGCAGAGGATGAAAGCCCCCCACACCGAATACCACCAAAAGTATGGTAAACCAAATAAGTCAGCTTCTTAGATAAAATTGTTTTAGTTAATGCATTTGCAGGTCAAGTCCATAATCATTCAGTCTTTTTCAACAGTGCCAAAGACTACTCAGTACCCTCAGGTTTAGAGAACCCCCAACTGATGACCCCAGGACATGTTAGCAACTTTGGAAGTGAAATTTCTTACTGAAGGTTTTTAAACATATCCCAATGTAAGAAAATAACTTATGGAGCCAAGAGATGGGTCAGTGACAATGGGTACTTGCCAACAAGACTGCTTACCCAAGTTTGAGCTCAGAAACCCACATGGTAGGAGAGAAAGGACCTTCGTCCAGCATGACCCCCGCATGAGCACTATGGTATATAGGTGCACACACAGGAAGAAAGGAAAGAAGGAAGGGAGGGAGGGAGGAAGGAAGGAAGGAAGGAAAGAAGGAAACAAGGAAGGAAGGAAGGAAGGAAGGAAGAGAGGACTTAAAATAATTAAAAGGAAACCTGTCCTCTTCCATAGTCTCATTCATCTCCACCTATTTTTTGGCATCTTTAAACTATATCACCAATCTCTCAGATAACAATATACATCACTACATTTTAAAAAGCATCACTGGCTGGAGAGATGGCTCAGTGGTTAGGAGTGCCACCCACTGCTTTTCCAAAGGATACAGATTCAGCTTCCAGCACCCACATGATGGCTCATAACCATCTGTAACTCCAGTTCTGGAGGATCTGATGCCCTGTTCTAGCACTGAAGCACCAGACAGACACATATGCAGGAAAAACACCATACATATACTATTTATTTATTTTGTTTTTTGTTTGATTGTTATCTTGTTTTTGAGACAGGGTCACTCTGTAGCCCTGGTTGTTTCTGGAACTTACTTGGTAGACCTGAAACTCAAGAGATCTACCTGCTCTGCCTCCAGAGTGCTGCAATTAAAGGCACGCACCACCACCCTGCTACATGTATACCATACCATTTTTAAAAAGCTTTATACAGGTAATGAAAAGTGCAAAATACCTGTCAGTGCCATGACTATCAAAGCTGTTTGTTGTTGTTCAAGTGGTGAACACTTACTAACATTTGCTATGTTCCAGCTCCTATGTCCTTATATATATTATCACATCAAATCTTCAACAACTCTGTGAAGTAACAACCATCTACTTCTATGCTCTGTCTCTTCTCAGTGAACTGTCACATAGCATGCATAATGACAATTGTTAGTTGGTGGTTTTAAAAATATTCACAACTGCCAGGTGGTGGTGGAGCACACCTTTAATCCCAGCACTCAAGAGGCAGAGGCAGGTGGGTCTATGTGAATTCAGCCTGGTCTACAGAATGAGTTCCAGGTTAGCCAGGACTATGTAGAGAAACCCTATCTCAATAAACAAAAAAAACAAAACAAAATTTACAAACAAATAAATCATCATTACTGTTTACAAAATAAACAAATCACTATGTGTGAGCCAGACCAAACCAAGACTTTCTTCAAGGCCAAATTAAAGGGAAAAGGGAACTTTAACTGTGTCCTTGTCCAGGAGTGGACTTGGCAAGACCAGTCTAGGGTTGGAGTCAGTGTCTCAAAGGAGTCAACATTGTGGCTTCTGGGGACCCAACTCTCCTGTTGGCTGTGGTCACCAGTCTTTAGGCATCTTTGTGAACATTGTCTGTCTTAGCTCTCTGCTGACCTTGGCCATTTTCCCCATACAAAGGCTATATGTGATGCTGTACCCTTTTTGTTTTGTTTTGGTTTGATTTTTCAAGACAGGGTTTCTCTGTAGCTTTGGAGGCTGTCCTGGAACTCACTCTGTAGACAGCCTGGCCTCAAACTCACAGAGATTCGCCTGTCTTTGCTTCCTGGGTGCTGGGACTAAAGGTGTGTGCCACTGCCACTAGGCTGATACTGTCCTTTTTAATAAACACGCTTGGCATGGCATCGGGCATCGGTTTATACAAGACCTTCTGGTACCAGCTATTGCTTTTGTCTTCTTTATTTCTTGTCTGTTCCACTTTTCATGCCACTCATCCTGCTTGACATGTTGCTTATTTCTGCTGGTTTGGATAATCACTATATGAAGAAGTTCCATCCGTTCGTCTCTCTTCCCCCAACTTTAAATGTATATGATCTTCCATTGTGATTTTTCTTCTCACAAGTTTTTTAACCAGACAGGTCCAGGAATTATATAACTAAGAGTCTTACTTACTTTTATTACTGATAAAGTTGACCAATGTGTAGGTTTGGTAGTTTGCCTAAGCAGCTAACACTGCATTTTAGAGTACACTATCTTGTGTCACTGACTCAGCTTGAAAGGCCCAAGTCTACACTTCTCAAAGGACCTTTTGCTACCTGGTAGGAAATAGCACAGAACACCCATGCTCTCCAAACAGCCAAGGGAGAGACGACCAGAAGGGAAGAGCTAAGCATCCTGCCTCCCAACCTTACCTGTTTGATATTCAGTCCTACTTGATTCAGAGACCAGTCATTCTGCCAGCATTCATTAGTGAACACTAAATGGGAATGTGAATAAAAAAAGCAGAGTCCAAAAAGGGGGCTATTTTAACTGTAGTAAGAAACATGGTGTCCTCTACAAAAACAGAAGAAAGACATTTCTGATGGGGTCAAAATTAAGGTTTGTTTTCTTACTAATCTATTGGACTCTAAGATATGTCAACCGTCACACACATGGAGCATTTAGATTTCAGGAACCTCTTTCCTATGTTTTGTAATCACCTTTTAGGAAGTATCTTTTGGCTCATACCATTGTTGCATCCATAGGCCAATTACATGCTGCAGTTAGCTCTCAATTGTGGGTTCACTGGAGTGGAAAGAACACCTACTATGGACAAGGATACCTGCACCCAAGTTCCAACTCTGTGTTGGGGGCATATTGCTTCAGTAATGCTATCATTTTATTTAAACTTGACCATATGTATATACATACCACTAAAGTATAACTTTTATCTTTTCCCCCACAAATAAGGTGTATCTATTTTTCTACCTTTTGCACTTTGACCATGTCATAGAACATGCTTATGTAAATACAACAAAGGCAGAAATTTATATTAATAACATGCTTGTTGAGGATGGAGAAATGCCTCAGTGATTAAGAGCATTTACTACTCTTCCAGAGGACCTGGGATCTGTTCCTAGCACCCACCTTTCACTCCAGATCCAGGAGATCAAACCCTCTTCTGGTCTCTGTGGGCTCCTGAACACACATAATCTCACACACACACACACACACACACACACACACACACACACACAGAGAGAGAGAGAGAGAGAGAGAGAGAGAGAGAGAGAGAGAGAGAGAGAATGAGTTTAAAAATTAACAAGTATGCTTGTACATTGGGCTTTACTCACATTTATAGGAAATTCTTTAACTTTTATTTTTAAGATTTAATTTTAATTATGTGCATATGTGTTGTTTATGTGTGGGTATGTCCAACATGAATGCTGATGACTGAGTCACGTTTTCTCTCCTTCTTCTTCCTTCTTCTCCTTCTTTTTGGTTTTTCAAGATAGGTTTTCATGTAGCCATGGCCATCCTGGAACTTGCTCTGTAAACCAGGCTGGTCTTGAATTCAGAGATCTGCCTGCCTCTGCCTCCAGAGTTCTGGGATTAAATGCATGTGCCACCACCCAGCCAGTAAGCATTCCACTATACTTCCCTCCAGCCCATTACTGATGATGCTTATGAAAGTATGTGAATGAAGTTTGGGCAGGGTGTAGTCAGAAGACATGTAGAGCTCTGTGAGTTCAAGCCTAGCCTACAGCATGGTCTGTGTAGTGAGTTCCAGGACAACCATAGCTACATAGTGAGGACCTGTCTCAAAAAGAAAAAAAAAAAAAGAAAAAGAAAAAGAAAGAAAGAAAGAAAAGAATGAGGTGAATGAAGCCTGAGCTAACTGAAATGGGAGTCTGATCAGGTTATTTAAATTTTTCACACTTAGAACATTATTTCTATAGAACTCATGGTAATGTTAATGTATTAATAATTAAATATTCACTTCATGGATGGAATTCTGTCTTCAAACTTCAACTATGATGCATTAAATCCCTTTTATCATCAATTTTTTTATATTGCCTGATCTATGTCAAAAATAAATAGTTTCAGGAGCCCAGGCTAAAAGTCATGTTCTCTGCTAAGTGCTTTAACTGTAGTTATCTGTTCAGTCGGTCCTTTCATCTGTTCTAGAAGGCAGGTGAGTCCAAAGGACTTGGGTTCAATACCCAGCACCCATATCAGGCAGTTTACAACCTCCTATAACTCTAGTTCCCAGGCAGTCAACATCCTCTTCTGCCTACGCCTTGCCACTGCACACCTGTTGTGTTCTCAAGAGCTCATGCACACACACACACACACACACACACACACACACACACACAAAGTAAATAACTTTTAAAATTAGGTAAACTGTAAAGGATAAAGAATGACTTTATATTATACAATTACAAAAGATAAAACAGAAAACAAGTTGAACGTGCATTGATGAAATGGTGTTTATAATTTCTTTCTTCCCACAGGAGTACAAACACTATTGGACAGAGTTGAGAGGAACCACCCTTTTCTTTTATACGGACAAAAAAAGCACAATAGTAAGTAGTTTGACATGTTAATCTGGTTCAGCTTTTCAATAGTTCATTGGCATATAATCTATTATCCATTTTCTTTCTATCACCCCAAAATAAAGGTGCTAAAAATGTGAATCTGAGAGCCCCATAAATTATGATGAGATCAGAGTGACAATTCCCTAAACAATTCTCAAAAGGTGTTAACTTATGCTTTTAACTTTTTGTTCTTATCTTCCTGACCTAGACAATAAAAATTTAGCTTAAAAGTAGAAATTCTAGTACTCAAACTGCTTAATGCAAAATGATAGCTTCTGTTTTTGCAGACCTTAGCACACTATAGAATGCAATTATAATCTGAAAGGGATAAGATGATTCCCATAGCATCGTAATATATGATACCACAATTTAATTTTCCTAGACAAAAACATACCCTCTAAAAGCAGACTTCTAAGAGCTATAGTATTAGAATCATGATGAAGTGATTCTTCAATTAATTCTTTGCAGACTAAGGTATTTAGTGTGCATTGCATCTTTCCGGTGACACACCAGGAAAGCAAAGACCCTGGCCTAAACCTTGCGTGATTTACAGTAACTGTATCCACTTATTTCTTTAAGAGGCAGCAGTATTGCTTGGTTTGCTTGGTGACTGAGCCTGGCATGCCCAGAAAGATTGCCTGTTGCCTGTGTTTTGTTTTGTTTGTTTGTTTTTTTTTTTTTTTGATAGCCTTGCTGTTGTTAACTGCAATCTTGAAAGAATTACCTAACCCTTCTGTGACTCATTGCATAGAAAGGGGCATGTAGAAAAACAGATGATAGCTCAAATTTGGCAGTTTGAAAAATGTTTAATAAAGTTCTTATAAATATTCAAAGCAGTGGACAGAATAGAAAGAGGTCGGGTGCTCTGAAGCTAAAAGTAGTGTGGATTGCCACAGGAGGTGTGGGAGGAAAAAGTGGGAGAGCTTGTGATGCTTAGAAGCAGCATGCCATTTGATTGAGAGAGGGAGCAATCACAGAGTGCTGAACAACCATCCTCACTCTGACCTCCTGCTGTGGGTCCCCAATGGCCCAACTCAACAAATAGTCAGAGGGTAGGGGAAACGCTCATGTCATAGACATCCTCCTGATGCAGAGTTGGGACGTCAAAGGATACAATTGGATCTGCAGGAACAAGTAACAAAGAGACAGACAGAAAAGCTCCAACCCTCCCATTTCTCAAATCTCTGAATTTAGGATGAAATTCAGTCTATCTCATAAGACTATAAAAATAATCAAATGAGACAGGACATAAAAGGATTTCAGTCAGTAGACTGCACAGAAAGGACTTACGCTATTTACACACACACACACACACACACACACATACACACTATTTAATTCCTATGAAAACGCTGTAAATTTGCATTCTGGTTTTCTTTAATATGTTTGGTTTTTTTTTTTTTGTTTTGTTTTGTTTTTTTTTTTTTTGGATCAAGGCCCTCTGTGTAGACACCCTGTTAACTCATGATCCTCCTGTCTCAGTCTCCTGAGCTAGTAAAAGGGGGTATGGCCCAGGTGTGGCTTGTGAGCTGGTGGTCTTTTTTAGGTCACAACAACAGGCTGTAGAGTGGTCCACCTACCAATGTTCTTAAAAGTGGATAAAAACGGTGGGGAAGTCTTCTGGGGGGACAGACTCGGTAGAAACCTTGTGATAGACCAGCTGAGAACTTCAGGCTTGTGTTTGTATATCCTAGAGTATGGAACAATTTAAAGCCGATTTTACATATTCAAAAGGCTAAGGGAAAGTCATGTGAAAAGGTCTTTGAATTTAAGTGTTATTTATGCTGTGAAAAGAGTTGAGGAAGTATCCAGGAAAAAAAAAAATGTGGCTCAATACAAGGAAATTTTAGCAGGGATGTTTCAGCAGTGTGAGCTCACTGTTCTCACAGATGTTCACCTGTGGGCTTGAGGACATCATGGAGAGCAGATTCAAACAGCTGGCTTACACAGATGACCTTTGAGGCTCCTTACAACCTATAATTAAAACTAGAAGAGTGACTTCCCTTTCTTTACTGATGTGTTGACACTGTTGGGTACAGCAAAACTCACTGAGCCTGATTTAGACAGTCTACCATACAAAGATGGTGTCTAAGTTCTGGTTTTGTTCCCTTGTGTTTATCCTTCCATTTTTTTTTTTTTTTTTTTTTTTTTTTTGCTATTTTTTTCTTTTTTTAATTTAATGTTACATTCCAATCACAGTTCTCCTTCCCACACCCCCTCTTGGTTCCCCTTGCCTCCCTGCCCAGCCCACCACCAGTCCATTCCTCCTCGCAGGTAAGGGCGCTCATGAGGAATCAATAGTCTGGCACAATAAGTTGGGACAGGGCAAGGCCCCTCTCCTATGCATTAAGGCTGAGCATGGCATCCCACCATGGAGAGTGGGCTCCAACAAGCTAGCTCATGTACCAAGTTTGTATCGTGGTCCTACTGCCAGGGGTCCCCCTGATAGTCTAAGCTTCACAGCTATCTCCCACATACAGTGGGCCTAGTTTGGTTCCCTGGAGTCTCCACAGTTGTAAGTCTAGAGTTAATGAGTTTCCACAAGCTTGGTTCAGCTGTCTCTGTAGATTTCTCTATCATGATCTTAACCTTCCTTGCTCCTATCCTTCCATTTTTGATTTTTGTTTGCCCCTTAAAAATAAATATGCCAAACCAAGCTTAGTATCAACCTCATCAATACAGAAATAGCTGTGAGAAACTATTAGTCTGTTTTTAAGCCCTATATTATATAGGAAAGTTAAATGAGACATAAAATATAGTACAATGGATTATACTAGGTACAATCAAGAAAAACTAAAAAAAAGAGAAAAAGAAGTGAAGAATGGGATAATCTGTCAAAAAACAACTACCAAACAAACTATAAAACCCCTATTTCATTAGGTCTTACTAATGCTGGAGGGCAATGTGTAACGAGTACGGTTTTTCCACCTGCTGCTGCTGGTCTTGTCCTGCTGCCGCGCCAGCCCCAAATAATACACAGAGACTCTGTATTTGATATTATACTGTTGTCCTGGTACTAGTTTCTTATTGGCTAGCTTTGTCTTAAGTATTAACCCATTTCTGCTGATCTATGTATTTTCACATGGCCTTCTCTTACCGGGGAGGCGGCTGGCGTCCAGATCTCTCCAGACTCTCCATCTTAACTCCTCCTTACTACTTCCTATTTCCTCCTTGTCTCTCCTATCTTCCTTTCCTATTGGCCAATGGTGCTTTATTATTAACCAGTATGAGAAACATATACAGAATGACATCTCCCATCAGCAATGTTGGCCTGTTGTGTATAGAGCAACTGCTCAAAATAATGTTTTTGCTGCACCTGAAAAACAGAAATTGCTTAATAGGTACTTTATAATCAGTGGTGTTTAATGAGGAAGAGTGACTTTCTAAAATGAAGTTTACATATGAATACATGTATATGAAATACAAACAACTTACATAAAGATGTGCAGCATTCAATTGGAAAAATATGTATTATTATTTACTATACATTTTTGTTATAACAACAATTCTTTATTGTATAGACAAATTTGATTCTATATGTATGAATACAATGCTATCCTTTGATGAATTAGGCATTATTTTTTGAGTTCTGAAAAAGTATTCTGCAACAATCCTCCCCATTGATAAGGAAACAAATATCATCAGAATTATTAAAATTTTCTCTATTATTTTCTGAAGTTTAGTCAAAGGGCCAGAAAGTCAGTAGATCTCAAAACAAATTTGACCTATGGTTTGATATTATTATTTATATACACACACACATACACACACACACACACACACACACACACACACACACACATATATATATATATATATATTCAAAACTCAATAAAGAAAAAGCAAAAACAGAAAAATATGTAATGGGTTATGTATACAGACCCAGAGTATTTATTATTAGAAGGCTTACCTCTGGGATAAGCAACAAACCGATAAAATATACATGTTTTTAAATGGTTTACTGATTTCCATAAACACCTCTGCCACCACCGATTCAACCTGTCAATGTAACTAATTGAGCATGGAGTATGAAAAAAATGCACAGAAGCACTGTTGCATAGTATTTGTGCCACACAAAATAAAGATAAATATTGCTGAGGGCATAAACAGTAAAATATTGTAATATAATTAGAAAATAATAAAATTTGAATTTTGACTATATTATAATTTTATTTTAACATCATATTTCATTTACTAGCATGTTGATATAATTAAATTTTAATATTAGCTATGTTAAACAACTGCAAGATTCTCAGAAATTTAATTTGGCCTTTGTGAGTTTGTATGGGTCAAGTCCAGCACATCGCCACAAAATGCATTTCCACATACTTTCTGGCATTGGGGAGACCAGATTATCTTGCAAAGTGCAAACACGTTTAAAAACTATTTTTTTCCTTCATGCTAGAACAGATGTATCTTACCCAGGAAGTAATTTAACAATCATTTCCTTTGTCTTTGCAGTATGTTGGCAAGTTAGACATAATAGACCTCATACGCCTTACTGACCAAAATTCAACAGAAAAGAGTGGTGCAAAATTCACTCTTGTTTTGCCTAAAGAGGAAGTGCAACTGAAGGTAAGTGAGGAGGGGCCCAGGGTGCAGAGACTAAAGCTTACTGAATGCTTCACCTTTAACATCCAGCTGGAACGAAGAGGAATAACAAGAGGGGCCTAGGCTTGATACTTAGCTAACATTTCCTGCCAAGGACCTCAATGTTCTGCGCCACATTTTAGCAGAGCACATTCACTTGTTTGGCATATAAGCACAATGAAACTTTAGACTTCTATCCTCTGACAAAGTCAAGATCCCACCTGGTGTTTTTCAAGGTTGTCCCTGAATGACCCTAGTGAGCTAAGAAAAATTACCCATCAATTACAGTCATAACACAAAGAACAACTTGGAACTGGTAAAGATAATATTGAAGAGATATATTGCTGGTTGCCTTTGAGAGCTGCAGTGTTTAGAATGAATCTGCATTTAAGCAAGCTCTTGGTAGAACTCTTGGACATGGAATGGAAGAGTAAGGCAGAGTAAGGAGTCAGATGCTGAGGTAGACATTTGTGGCTTTATGCATTAGCTGTGTATCATAGGCCAGTATCACTTGTCCTCTTTGCCCATTTGTTTCTTGAATTACAAATTTAAGCAGACTGCTGCCCACCTAGAACACCTGGTCAAAATTGTAACCTTGTCTACCTAGCCTGTTGTGGTCTGAATGACAATGACCCCATGGGCTCTTGTGTTTAAATGCCTGCTCCCCAGGTGGTAAACTGTTTGAAAAGATTAGAAGGATTAGGAGATGTGGTCTTGTTGGAGGAAGTGTGTCATTGAGGGTGGGCTTTGGAGTTTCAAAAGACCACACCAGGACCAGATCCAGTCTGTCTCTGTCCCTGTCTCTCTGCTGCCTGTGGATTGGGTTCTAAAGCTCTCAGCTACTGCTCCAGCGCCATTCTTGTCTGATTCCTGCCATGATGATCATGGACTAACCCTCTAAACCTGTAAGCAAGTCCCCAGTTAAATACTTTTACACTTTTTTTTTTTCCCTATTTGTTTCCTTTCAACAATATCAAATGTACTATCACATTCATTATTTATTTTTCCTTGCTATATTTCCTCTTTCTTTCTTCCTTCCTTCCTTCCTTCCTTCCTTCCTTCCTTCCTTCCTTCCTTCCTTTCTTTCTTTTTTTGAGACAGGGTTTCTTGGTGTTAACAGCCCTGGCTGTCCTGGAACTCAGTATGTAGATCAGGCTGGCCTCAAACTCAGAGTTCTGCCTGTCTCTGCCTCCCAAGTGTATTTCAAACAAGGACCTTTGTTTTGTTCCCAATACCTACACTTAACAATAATATATATATACATATATATATATTTATGTATACACACACATATCTTTCAATTGAACTGATACATGAAATGACATTAAAAACACCTTTTGATGAATTACCTTGAAGATTGTCAAAGAACAAAACCACTTCATACAGAGATCTTTAATTAGTTTTATACTCTACTCAAGAACCAGGTGTATTTTATTCTATATAATAAAATATTCCTGTCAGCTGAAAAGAAGTAATTGATTTCATAGACAGGGAAAGGTAAAGGTAAAACAAATTTAAAAGCAGTAATAAAGTTAGTTGTTCATTTCAAATGTTTCCATGGTAGGCAAAACTGGGAAGACAAGTGCTAGAAAAACAACTTATTGTCATTAAGATTACTTCAAGTTACTTTTTTTTGGAAACAGATGGAACAAATTGAAATCAGTCTGTATGGGAAATGTGGCTGTTCTATTTCTTTCCCGATTTCTCAAGAAGGCCAGATAATACTTTAGTTTTGCTTTAGTGATGTGGAACATTACCACCAAGGGCTCCATTCTTATTCCTAGTGCAGACCATGCCGGACTTCAGTGCAGAAGCCTGGAAACAATGGCCACTATAATATTTCTTTGACATAATTAAGCAGTGGAAATTAATGTGGAAATCTTAGTACAGTAATTGAATTATAAGTGCTCAGAAGAAATTGGCTGTTGTTGTTGTTGTTATTATTATTATTATCAGTCAAAGTAGTAGCCTTTGAAGCTAAGAACTGGATGCTTTTACATTGGTTTCCCCAAATGTCAAGCAAGCCAATGGAGAGAGTTGGCATTAAGTAGCAAAGTAGAAGTAAATTCACTAACACTTTATTTTTTCCAGCATAAATTTGTACAATTGTGCTTGTTTAATAAGCAAATAATTTAAGGTATACATTGCATTTTTTGTTTAAAAATTGTCTATGTGTGCATATGGTTCTGTGTGTGAATGCATATACATGTGTGCCATAGTGTGTGTGTTGCACAGTGAGTGTGTGGAGGTTAAAGAACAATCTCGGGTCCTCCTTTTCCACCTTATTTGTGACAGGGTCACTTTGTTGTTCAATGCCAACAATGCCAGGTTAGCTGGAAAGAGCTTCTAGAGCTTTTGCTGTCTCTGGCTCCTATCTTTCCATAGGCATACTTTGGTTATGTGTCTCACTGTGCCCAACTTTATGTGACTTCTGGGGATTTGAATTCAGGTCTTAACATGTGTAGCAAGTGCTTTACTTGTTGAGCCACCTGGTCCCCTGTCATTTGTATTTCTGTTTACATATAAAAACAGGATTGATAAATATGTTAATAATCCTAAGCAAAAAGAAAAAATGAATAATTTCTCCTTGCACCTGATTTTATGCAGTTTAAACTTTTCAAATGGTCTTATTTAACAAAGTGCCTGAACAGGAGAATATGCATTATTTTGCCAGTCATGCTCATTTTTTCTCTCTTTTTTCATGTATATATGTGTACAGTATATGTGCATGTGTGCATGGCTATTTGGATGTGCATTGGTATATAAGTGTGTGTAGGTGCACATGCATGTGTGTGTTCATGTATGGGGTGGTCAAAAGATGACAGCATGTATTTTATCTTCACTTCCGTCTTCTACAATGAAGCAACACCACTCACAAGGGCCCATAGCTTCCCACTTTGGCTAATCTAGCCAGCCAGCTTGATCTAGAGATCCTCTGTCTTTACTTCCAGGTGCAGGAATTAGAGTTGGGCTGCCATGACCAGTTGTCATTTTACTTGGGTTCCAGAGGTACAAACGCTGGACTTCACATTTCTGAGACAAATGCTTCACCCAAACAACCATCTCCTTAGCTTGCAAGTTTGTGAGCTTTTGATGGTGCACCTATTTTGTCAGATAATCATCATGTGACATTTTCATTAGTAACTTTAAATAATTATGTGTTTCTTGATTTACCTTTGCTTTCATCTTTAGACAGAAAACACAGAAAGTGGGGAAGAATGGAGGGGCTTCATTCTTACAGTAACAGAGGTAAGGCCATTCATTTCTTTTGTTGAACAATGTCTCAACAGCCCATGGTGGCCTCAAACTTAGGATCTACCTGTCTCAATCTCCCAAGTGATGAGGTTACCATGGTGAGTCACCATTCCCAGTAGAAGAGCATTACAGCCTATTAATTCGTCTGTTAGATTGTTGCTAACATCACTACAACTATGGATATTAAAGTGGTTGAGGATATAAAAACTAGAAAAGGCAGATAGAAATCCATGCTTTTGTTTCTGAAACTTACATTTTCATCAGGTGGGTTGAGAAGACTAAAGACACTAAGTAAACAACCAAACCCATTTCACCTTGAGATGACTGTTCTGAAGCAAAACTGGTGAGCTGGGGGTAAGGGAGACCTACTTTTTTCATCTTAGAGCTGTTTGGCTATAAGTCTTAGGCTCATTGCTAAGCTCTACCATCTTACCTTTATAATATGGAGGTTCTTTGTTTATGCTGACATTTGTAGCTTATTGTAAAATAATCTTCAACATTTTTTCTTTTAAACGTATTAAATGCTGTGCCGCAGTGGATGAAACAGACATCATGAAAGACAGAAAGCATCCAAAATGAAAAATCCCTTTTAAACACTTGTTACATCTGTCTTAAAACAGAAGGATGCTTATCTGCTCAATGGCGGCATCTTATCAGAGGCAAATAGTAAGGCCCATTCCTTAGCATAAACTATGGCAGCAAGATAAAGTACCATTAATTTGAATAAAGCCACAATAGCAACTGTCTTCCAAACACGAGATACTTTGATAACCAGCATGATGCTAACTGAAAGTGCTATGTTCTTTAAAACTTTTAGAACAAATGAAAAGTTCCAGGTTAGGAGAAAATGCCTGTTCTACCTACCCCCAGGGAGTTTCTGAATGAACTCTTTGCAGTCATAAAATAAGCTGGACTCTTTGCCAAGATACTGAATCCTTCAGATCACCCTTTTACAGGCAAAGTGGGTAGAGGTTAATTGCAAGATAGGGTGTCCCTGGGAGGACTGAAAGGAGACCTTTAAACACATGAAAAATATACTCATGGGGTTGGAGAGGAGACCATTGGGAGAATTGTGCTTTCTCCATCTGTTACAGTAAGGTCCTGCAGGCTGCCATGGATGTCTGTAAGTATCCCAAGGGTATGTGACTAGGAATATACACTGAACCCATTGGATAAATCAAGGTGCCTTGTCTTGATACACTAATAATACTTAAAGTTTTGGCCATTTCATTTATATTTTTCCTTGATTAAAGATAAAAAGCAATTATTTTTAATTCAAACACTGATATATTAAGTAATATGTATAATATATGTCATATGAATTTTCAAGTTAAGACACTGTCTATTATTTTATACTCTATAACTATTTGGGGCATAATATCAAATCACTGTATGTGAATAAATCATTTCTAAAACTATTCCACTGTATTGATTATTCCTCTAAGAGAGCACAATGAGGCACTAGACTGGGGTATGAAAACAATAGGACACATTTGGGTGACTCAATCAAAAACACACTTCTAGAAAAGGTAGTAACAACAAAACCAACTAATGTAATATTTTTAGATCTTAGTAGACGTGGTCAAGTTGCAGAGACTGCAGTAGACAGAGCGGCGACCTCATCCCTGAACCACCCTGATTTTGAGTCTTAACTTCACATCTGACTAGCAATGATTCTCTAGCCTTTAATCTTTCTGAGCATATTTTCTATTTTGTTGTTAAAAAGTGCAAATAACAATACCTGCCTTGTAGGATTGTTGTATTTTGATAATATTTGCATAGTGATTGAGATAAAATTGATAATTCATGAGAATTAGCTAAAAAAGAAATATTAAAATAAGGGGTGATTGTTTTATTGGTTCCTCCTCATTGTTTTATTTATTTTGCTTTAGTTATTTATTAGAACAAAGGGATTTACGTGAACCTTCTTGGTTGTATAACCCTATCAGTAAATTATCTAAATTTCACATGTTCAAATACACACAAATGCAAACAACAATATGAATTAATGAAATATTAACTAAGCATGAGACTGGGGAGAAGCCTTAATAGGTTAACTCCTTGCTATGCCACCATTAGAACCTAAGCTGGGATCCCCAGTTACAGCCAGCGTTTGTAACTCCAGTGCTGGGTGGGAAAACACAGGTGGGTCCCTGGGGTTTACTGACCAGCTGATCTAGTCAAACTAGAAAAATAATACTAATAATAACAATGTAGAATACAATAGAGGAAGACATCTGATGCTGACCGGGCGGCCTCCTATGCATTTATGAGCAAGCCCACGCCCCTATACATGCACAGCTATGCAGACAACAGAGAGAGAGAGCTAAATTGAATGTCGAGTTTTCTTCCTACACTCATGAATTCTCTTGTTTATCTCCTGGTGAGTATTCACTTTCCTCTGGTGGTCAAAATATAACCAGACATGACTGCCCCAAATACAGTCTAGCTAATGTCACATTTAGAAAAATAATGCACCATATATCCCCAGAAAACATAGGCTGTTCTCAACTACATTTGAGATGGGACTATGATTCACAAGACCATATATGGATATTTGAATCCAAAACATTTCTAGGAAAGATGAAAACAACAAAACTAACATGCAGGGAAGTATCAAAATGCTAAAATATGATTGGATGCTATAAACAGACAACAAAGTAAACCCGGTGATCCTATGAGGATCTCAAACCCATGTTTGATAATAATGTGGCATCTCCCCAGAACTCCTAAGCTTCTTGGGCATCGCTAAACTAGTGAGTTCAGGATGAGAAAGGAAAGATTACTTGCTTCTTAGCACACAATAAGAAGTATGTGTAATTTGTCCTGAGACCAAGTCAAAACAGAAGACTTCAGCCAGTCATGGTGGTGGTGCACACCTTTAATCCAAGCCCCTGGGAAGCAGAAACACTAGCTCTCTGTAAATTTTAGGCCAACCTGGTGTGCAGAGTGAGTTCTAGGACAGCCAGCTCTGTATAGAGAGAGAACCTGCCACAACAAACAAACAAGAAAGAAAGCATAAGACTTCTTAGAAGGCTTGCCATTCCCTGCAGGTTCTAGTTGACAGAGGGGCAGTTCTAGGATGTCCACATCACTGAAATCTACTTATTACTCTATCCATTCACCTCTGACAAGTAAGTCCTCAGGGCCAACAAGCTCATCTTTCCTACAGCCAGGATGCTACTCAGCTGTGGTTTTTAGTTTGCCTGCTGTTCTAACTGGTTTCAGCTGTCTGTTCCTCAACTGTCACTTCTACCTGGGCAAGTGATTAGACTACATGAAGTCCTAGAAAGAGAGAAGAAAAGACGGCTTGAGAAAGAACAACTGCCAATTATGCCTGAGGAGAAAGAGATGCAGCCAGTACAAGATGATGTGGATGTACCAAATCCTATGCCAGCGTAAGTGCACAATTAACTTGTTTATTCATTCAGTTAAAACTAATTTCTAGTTATCAGGTAGCATTGCCTACTTGGACTTGTTACACCAAGGTTACTAAATATCTTGGTGATAAATTGTATGTCTCTGAGCTCCTGCCACATTTCCTCTCCTACGACAAGATCAGCATCGTGCACATTTGAACTAACTCTTACCACAGAGGAAATCCCCTTCTACCCACACATCTAGACTAAATTTATATGTCTTTCCGGAGCTCAAACCTAAATTAAAGCTGCTATGAAGAAGGAAGGAAAAGGTATGTGTATATGTGTGTGTCCTCATAGTTGGGTAATTTATCATCGTTCATACCAAATCTTTTTAAAGTCTTAGAATATTGTATCCAGTTGATTGATGAGTGGACACTGAACTTGCCCTCTGAAGAAAGCCTTGTGTAAAGTGTTCAAAAATAGTAATGGTACTGGATTCTGAAGCATCCCATGTGTCTTCTTTATTGCTGAAAATATCATGGGCCTTTTCCTCTGGAAACCATGGTGCTCTTATCATTAAAGTGTATCCTGGCTCCGTCCCTGACGTCAGGTTCTGATGTACAATCTACCTGTACTGAAGCCACTGGAACCTGATAATCAATGCTGCTATCCAAACCAGACAAGAGATCAACTCATAGATTAAAAATCACATGGACAGCTTCTCTTTCTTTTTCCCCAATACAAGAAGTACTACATTTATTACAGATAAATAAAGAGAAGATTAAAACTAATTCTTGTCACAACACTCGAAGATATTTTCCACTAACATTTTGGATGATCATATACTCCATCATATTTGTACATAGCTATTATATTTCACTAAATATAACATGCATTATAAAATCAGGAAGTGCTTTATTTCTCAATAAAAATATTGTTGGTGCCATTTTAACACAACTTATAAATCAAAAGTGCTGAGCATGCCTTTCATTCCAGCACTCAAGAGGCAGGCAAGTCTCTGAGTTCAAGGTCAGCCTGGTCTACAGAGCAAGTTCCAAGACAACTGGGGCTAAATGGCTATACAGAGAAACTCTGTCTCAAAATATCAAACAAACAAAAACTCACAAATAACAAATTATAACAAATGGTATATCTGAACTACAGATATAGTCTTAATGTTGGTGTTTTAAAACAGAGTCCCACTAGGCTGTGGTGGCCTACACCTTTTATCCCAGCACTGAGGAAAAAAAAAAAAAAAAAAAGGAAGGGAGATCTCTAAGTTTAAGGCTATCCAGGGCTACCTAGGGAGGCCCTATCTCAAAACAAATAAACAGATTAACAACAAAAATACCCAAAGAATGTCTTGGGACATTTTGGAGTCCTAAAAGGAAAGCACCAACAAATTAATCTAAGGTGCTGTTGTGAATTGAGACTGGGGATAATTAGTTTTCTGTGGTGATCATGATTATACATGGATTAGTATATTGCTTTTCAAGTTCTTTTTAAAGGTTAACTCTATATATCAAGGTGTTAGCTAGCATTATTTTCAAGTAATGATCTTCATCAGCTTAACTAAAATTATAAAAAATAAAAAAAAACAAACAAAAAATCCTTTTTGTTTTTTTCATCTCACATTTGTAGGTGTTTTTATTCAGTTTCCCGGAAAGAAGCAACTGCAATGCTGGAGAAGAATCCTTCTTGGGGAAATATGATCCTGAGGCCTGGGAGTGACAGTAAAAACTACTCCATCACTATCCGGCAGGAGATAGAGTATGTTCAATTCCTCTGGCTAGCATACTGTTAAGAGCACGGTATTCCAGTCAGCACCTGTTATTCATTCTATTAGAGCTGCAAACATAAACACAAGTATGAGAAGTAGTGTGACATAAGCAAATCCCCGCCTTAGTGGTAATAAAGAGAACAGATTTGGGCTTGTTATTGTTTTAAGACACAGTGTTCACAAAGGCACTCATCAGTTGACTGACATTTAAGGAGAGACTCAAAGTGAGGGACCCAATCTTGCCAGTACTCGAGGAAAGACATTCCAGGCCACAAGTGTATATGCCCAGAAGTAGAACACCTGTCTTGTTCAGGAAGCAGAAACTGTTTGCATACTTTACCTATAAAAAGGGCTACTGAAGAGCTCTTGAATATATATATATATATATATATATATATATATATATATATATATATGTAAAATGACTTACCTTTGAAAAATCCAGTAACACTTAGGTGCAACTGTCAGGGTAGAAGAACTACATCCATCAGGAGAGTGATTACTTTGCAAGTGTGAGAACCTGAATTCAATGTCCAGAACTCACATGAAAGAGAGAAAGAGAGGAGAGGAGAGGAAAGAGAGAGAGGAGGAAGGAAGGAAGGAGGGAGGAAGGAGGAAGGAGGGAGGGAGGGAGGGAGGGAGGGAGGGAGGGAGGGAAAGGTGATGGATGACACATGCCTATAATCCCAGCAGTGAGGAGGTGGAGACAGGCAGATCCTTGAGGCTTGCTGGCCAGCCAGTCAAACCTACTTGGCAAATTGCAGGCCAGTTAGAAACCTTGTCTGAAAAAGAAGGTTGAGGATACATGCAAGATTGATATCTGGAATCCACAAGTAAGAGTACACATGTTCATGTGCAGCCATACACAAATATACATGTAAAATAATTTTTATATGTAATCACAGTAGCTGAACCTTCTAAGGCCACTCCAACTTTTACAGTCTATAAAAATCTCTGTATTTTAATAGAGATTCTAGCTCAGGTAATGCTCATAACTGACAATATAATTTAAAATATAGGTGGTTTGCCTACATTTAAATATTCAATAAGTAACTATGTCTTATAAAAATCATAAATAGAACATTGCTTTTTTAAATTTACTATTCTTTGTTAGGATCATATAGTAGTGGATAAACAGTAAAAAACAAATACTTTTTAGAGAAAAAAATTAAAATCATGGTAGTATGGCTCAATTTCTACTTTGAGCTATGGCCCTCAAAGCTTCATTTGCTTGCCAGTTAATACAAATAGATCCTTGTCTTCATACAGTAGCCCTGAACAGGCAAGAATGTTAGTAATAAACTAGATCCCAGTGCTCCCAAGTCTGTGTGAGTATCTCTGGGTGGTGTGTATTTTTGTGTTTCTCCACTATAATTGTCAACTTTCTTGTGGATTTCTTATGTTTCCTACTTTCTATATACTACCCTTTTTTTTTTTTTAGCTTATAGCATATGCTATAATGACATATGCTTTTACAAGTTAAACATTAGCAACAAATTTTCAGCTCCATAAGAATATAATCTAGGGGCTGGGGAGATGGCTCAAAGGGTAAGAGCACTGACTGCTCTTCAAGAGGACCTGGGTTCAATTCCCAGCACCCACACAGCCGCTCATAACTGTCTATAACTCCAGTTCCAGGGGACTGGACACCTTCATACAAATGCACATAAAATAAAGTTAAATAAATCATTTCTTATAAAGAATATATTTAAATATTATAGATTACAATTTATTTTGGTTAATAATTTAATCGGAGATCTCAAAACAAGTACAAAAGTACAGGTTATAGCTACCAGTGAATATGACTTCTTCCTTCCTTTCTTTCTTTGACAACACAGGTCTTTGTTTTTCTTTTTCTTTTTTTTTTTTTTTTTTTGAGATTATAATATGATCACAACATTCTCCCTTCCCTTTTATCCTTCCAAACCCTCCCATATACTGTTCTCCATTCTCCTTCCAATTCAAGACCTCTTTTTCCACCAATTGTTATTGCGTGTGTGTGTGTGTGTATGTGTGTGTGTGTTCCTAAGTATAACATATAATCACAACATAAATGTTCCTAATTGTTATTGCATGCATATACACATGTATATATTGCTAAATAAAATCTGCTCAATCTATATGTTACTTGCATGTATTTTTTCAAGGCTGATCATTTGACACTGGACAAGCAAATGATGTGCTCTTTTCTGGGGAGGACCACTTCTCCCACTCGCAGATTTCCTCAATGTGGTTAAGGTCTACGGGGTTTACCCCCACCCCCCACACACTTGGAATGTCCATCAGTGTTGTCCTTTTTCAGAGTTTGGGCAGTCCTGAACCCTGGAAAAGCACCACCTCCTTGAATAGGAGATACAAAGCAGAGAATTCAACCCTGCTCTTGGGGTTTAATATCTTCTACTTCATATGTGCCTTGATCTTTAGAGACAGCAATCTGAGAGAGCATTAGAATTGTGCCTTGATAGTGGAGTAGAGTTAATGTAAAGTTTGTGGCAGGAATCGGGACTATTAAGAAACACCTGTGTTTCCCACAAAACAAGCTCATTTTCTTTCCAGGAGGTCCCAGGAGAGATGCTCAGCCATGCAAGTTAATGAGCGAGTCTGGTAAACACAACTGGAAGGACAAACTGGTTTACAAAGCAGAACTTGAAAGTAATTTTCCCCCAGGTGTTTACAGATTAGTGGTAGGCTGCTTGAAAGACTAAACAGAGCCTGCCAGTGCAACATCATCAGGTGATTCCTCTCAGAGCAGGGCATCATCTATCTTTAACCAGCTCAGTGGCACGAGAACTCATAAGACAAAGTTATTTTTATAACAAACCTCACACTTTTTCCCCCTTGAAGTTGTTCTGACTAGGTGCCTTGCTAGCATTATAGTCATTTAAGTCATTATTGGCTAAGAAGGAAGTAGAAAATCTTTACCCCAAATTCATCCTTTTGCAAAACTTGAGCTCAGGGTCTAAGAAAACATTTAGAACTGCACTTAAAGCCAGGCTTTTTTTCTTTTTCTTTAAGGGCTAGCTCCTCGTGTGTGTGTGTGTGTGTGTGTGTGTGTGTGTGTGTGTGTGTTATGTGTGTGTGTCTGTGTGTGTGTTGTAGCTTAGGTTGGCTTGTAAGTCTCCTGGCTCAGCAGTTTAAGAGCTGGGATCACAGGAGTATGCCATCACATCTCATTTCACTGGCTCTATTTTTGATATCATAACTATAATGCTATAAACAGCAAAGTTTATTCATTTTGTTTTTTTTTTCCCTTTGCAAAACAAAACATGGAAGAAAAAAGTACAGTATAAAAAGAGACTTCAGGGCCACTGTCTTTCTGCTTCACCTTTGACTTCAAAATTGAGTCCCGTTACTCCAAAGTCCCTAGAGCTTCTACTGACCTCTGTCTGCTTTCATCTCATAGCTCCCCATGAGCTGCTTATATGGTGTGATGGCTATTACCAACAATCGATGTACCCTTTGTGCACCTTGTGTTGAGTGCTACACACATTTCCTACAGGCACAAAAGAATAATTGAGACAAATAGTATTGCCCATTTTTTACAAACTAGACTGGCAAAAAATAAGAAATATTATCTATATATTAAATGTAGATTAAAATAAGTATAATTTAGTGAGTGTTTAAATATGTAAAGAGCTGTACTAAGGGCCTTGCTGGTATTAGTCCACAATAGCCCTCAGAGGTAAACCTTTATCATCTCCACTATGCAGACTGAAAGTACACATATGCACACACACACTCACACATTCTCTCTCTCTCACACATACAGATGACAGACACACATGCACACACAGTGGAGGGGGTATTTAGAGAGCACATATGACAGAAACAGAATTTAAGCCAACTGTCCTATTAAGCTCCCAAAGGATAGCAGTCACTGACTCAACTGTATAATCAGAAGGAGGTCAACCATGTATTTCCTTTTAGAATGCCAAGAATCAAGCACTACAAAGTGATGAACACTGGAAAGAACTACACCATCGAACTGGAGAAACCCGTACGTAGTCAGTTCTTCATTGTTGATAAACTTCCTCCTGTTGCCTTCCAAACCTTCCTTTATAGACTCCATGGAAAAGTGGATAAACAGAAGTCTTCCTTAACAACAGGCACAGTGATGTGAAAGGGCAATAAGCAGTCTAGGTAACACAGGAAGGGTGAGAGCCTCACAAGAACAGGCAAGTAGTATTAACTAGATGATAACCTACTTCTAAAAGCAGTTGACTTTCTCTGCACATGATTACTCAGTGTAATTATTTCAGAGAAAGAAAAAATGTTTTTATGCAGCGTCTGTGTAATATCTACCCCCCTATTTACAAATATTCAAATGACCCTATATCTAAAGAGAAACAATCTGAGTGCCACCAATGTCCTCTTAACAACAGCACTTTACTAGAAGGCCCTGTTTCTTCTTCATCTTCAACTCCTCTTCAAGCTTAGTTATTATATCATGGAACCAAAGAGAGGCAGATTTATCCTCCAGGACAATGTTTGGCACACAGCCAAGTAATTTACATATGTAATTTAATTTTTTCTATTTCTATGAGGTAGATATTTAGACTCGTCTCATTTAGACTAGTCTCAGCTATTGAAACTGTGGTGATGTGGCGTGCATTCCTTTAAAATTGGCTCCTAGCTCCACTGCCTCTCCAGACACATTGTGTAGCAATGTATAGGTAGAATTTCTCATGTTTTGACTGTAAGTCTCAGAAACACTGATTCACACAGCTCACCTGAGTGAAGAATGTCTCCAGAACTTCTCAGATCCATGTCTATGGATCCAGCCAAGTATCTCAGACCATTGTAAACTCAAGATCTTCTTGCCTCTGTCTTCCAAGTGCTGGGACACCATCCAGTCCTGGCTCCAACTGACCTTTGTAAGCTAAGTTCTAACAAAGGAGGCAGAGGTCTGGATTGCTGAAGGAACATCCATAAAAGTAAATGGCCAGAAGTGGTTCCAGTGAGGAACAATCTAGCTCCTGCACCTTTGTAAGTGTAGACCTGCACTCCTTACGGTTAGCCTCTATTCACAGTAGAAGGAAAATGGATATCCTGGATAGTTCTTTTACCTTCCAAATTCCTCAGTTATCCTACTGAATATAATTTTAATGAGTTATTTTACTTCAAGAGTATTTGGGTATATTCATATGTACTCAGATTTCACTTATATAAAAGTATTGATTTATGGGTTAGAGAGATTTTAATGACCCACAGACCCTAAATTATCCTGTTACAATGAAGAATTAAAATGCTTAAATTCTCTGGCATCAAGCAAAGGAAACCTCTTCTGCCCAATTTAAGAGAAAAACAATCAGCCCATAGGTTCTTATTATAAACATTAGAAGGCTAGCAAATCTTAGGGACCAGGAAATATTTGGTTATGGAGCTGCCACTTTTTATTTGCTCATTGAAGTTCCAATTTCAGGAAGAAAGAAATTGGCCTAAATTTAGTCATTCTTCTGTTTTAATTGTGGGAAGGCAAAGTACCCAAATATTCACCAAACTGTCCCTAGTGCTAAGGGAGCATTTCCTAACCAAAGAATGGCCACATAGTCCTTAAAAAGGTGAAAAACCAGACATGGCTAAGAAAGTCATGGGCATTCAGCAAGTCATTGAAGTATGATGCCTACCTGAGCTGACTATCTGGAGGTCAGGAGACATACAACCATCCCCACTTTACTGCAGGGGAGCATTTTTACCCCGGCACTAAGCCTCTTTCACTTTCTTTTACACAGGTAATACTCCCAAACCTTTTCAGTGTCATTGATTATTTTGTGAAGGAGACTCGAGGGAATTTGAGACCATTTATACATTCAACTGATGACAACAACCTTGGTATGTCCCCCTCACTTTACTGCTGCATGAAAAAAAAAAAAATTCCAAACCCCAAACAAAATTTTTAAAATGTAAAGCTCTCCATCCATTAGGCAGTCATCCTTTTCAGGGTCTGTGGAGAAAAAAAGCATTTTCCTCCAGACAGTGTATGCATGCATTTTGATTATTAACATCATTCCATCATTCTATTTGACTTCATCAAACACATTCAGGGACAACAGAAAAGCAAAACAGTATAGACTCACGGGTAGAAAACAGGAAATGTAAAGGGATGGGTCCACAACAGAGTCAGATGCTTGAAACTGGGTAGAATGCATGAGAGTAAGCAAAGGCGGTGGGGATTGGCCACTTGGTAGTACATGACCTTGATATAGTGCTATTCTGCTATGAAGGTAAAGAAGTAAGATGGCAAGGTCATAGGAGTGAGGAGGTGATGAGGAGCTTCTGACAAAAAATTGGTGGGCTCTTTTTTTTTTTTTTTTTTTTTTTTTTTTTTTAATAAACGAAGAACTTCAAAATGGTGGTAGGTAGTAGTTTATTAAACTGAGCAATGGTACCTGTGTCAACAGTATAGTTCACAGTTCATCAAATTGACTCCCATCTGCATTCTAGTTTTCACCATAGTGAAGCAGGCTAGACTCTATCCAACTCTATCCAACAGTCTACATGTGGTCACGGGCAAACTCTAAGCAAAAGAGGTTAAGCATCTCCATCTAGTTTGGGTTTCATTCTTCAAAGACACTTTCTTTTCCTACACATTATAAAGGAAAACTACTTTGTCTACCAGCATCAGGAGCATATCTGCAAAGCTTCACTAATGAAAACAACAGCAGATTTATCTGTTTATCTTTGGATGCTACATAACAATACAAGAAAACAAACAAACAAACAAACAAACAAAACAAAACCAAGAGCCTACAGGAGCTTTAGGAAATGATGAAGTGAGATCGATCTCCACCTTGTACATTCAGCAGAGGAAGTATCTCTTAAGATGTGATTCCACAGCTTGCTTGGCAAGTTCTGTTATGGTGTTTATGGGCTCTTGAAGCATGGAAGCATGCTTTTATTAGTAGAGCTATGTAATGAATTAGGATAGCCTGAAATGAAGAGCTACAGGTGGTTAATGGCTACTTATAGAGAATCCAGGGAGAAGCTTGCACAAGTTGTTCATTCCCAGTGTTTGGCCCTAGATACATGTACATACTAGCAAAGGTAAATGAATTCAGTAAGTTATATATCAGTAAATACACACATATACATATGGATATACATGTAACAACAGTAAAGAAAAATCATGAATTAGGGAGAGGCACACAGAGTTGGAAAGAGTCTTTCTCAAGAAAACCTAAAATATAATTTATTTCTCCCATGTAGAAAAATATATCCAGAACCTGGCCTACTACTTTAACTGATAGGAGGCAGATTCAGAAGTATGGTTCTGTCTTTGCTACTTAAATTTATCTACATTTTTTTATTTCAACATTACTTGAATCTTTACAAAAATTTTAGTGTCAAATAAAAATTTCTGTCTGGAACAACAGAAGCCACCTCTGGGGTCCGTGTGAATGAGGAACTCCTTGGTAAACCTTTAATCCCAGCACTCAGGAGGCAGAGGCAGGTGGATCTCTGTGAGTTCGAGTCCAGCCTCGTCTACAGAGCTAGTTCCAGGACAGGCTCCAAAGCAAGACAGAGAACCCTTGTCTGGAAAAAACAAACAAAAAGCCTAGAGTCTGTGTTGTGGCTGGTACAACACGAGGTGGTGCTGTTTCCCAGTTCTTCCTCTAGGGTGTCTCACTGAATTAAGGACCAATGTTGTTCTAGTAAAATATGTGGCTTGAGAGCTTAGCCAGTGCTGTCCTGATGTCCTTCCTGCACATTAGGTGCTGTGTCTCTTCAAACAAGTTAAAGAGAAAACATGCAGAAGCAATTCCCACTCAGTTCTCTGATACAATTTTCTTTGTTTCTATGGACAGAAAGGATTTTCTTCGGGGTGTTCTGTTAGGACCAGGAAAGAAGGAAACAGACAGACAGACAAACAAACAAACAAAAAACCCCAACCAACCAACCAAACAGAAACAGAAACAAAACAAAACAAAAAAAAAACAAAACAAAAAACCCCCAAACTGAAAATGGAATGCTGACTTAAACTTTAAATGGTTTTAAAAGCAGACCACCAGATTATTATTGCTATGTTACTGATTTCGTTTGCTTTGTGATCAAGAGTATTATTCAACACCCTTGTATCTGATTGTTACCAGGGTTATTGAATAATAGGGAGAACAAGTAAATTACAGAGGTCCAGGGAGCCTTTTCAAACCAGAAGAGCATCTGACGAGTAGCATACTTATATTTTCAAAAACAGTAAGAACAGGAAAATAGTAAAAGCCATGCCCCAAAATGCTATATGCATTTGAAGAAAACTTTGTGGAATATGGTGCTTGATTCTGGGACATGGACTTGCTTGTTGAGGCAGAGTGTGAATACTAGAACACTTAGTCTAATTGGAGCTGTAGGGTACTTAATGGTTCAGGGATCTGGAGATGTGGAACCGGTCAATGTGTTCACATAGGATACTAATGAAAAGAAGCCAGAATCTTCTCTGACCCTTGGTAACCTATGTTACTGTCCAGCTTTCTCATTGATATCAAGAGGCAAGAGCAGCGATAGGAAATAGACAAGAGATATTCTCTCAATTTATTTTTCCCAAGGTCAGAAATTACCAGCTTAAAAGTCATTTCAAAATATAGCACAGAAGGTATACAAAACATTAAGCTAAAGCCTAAGAAAATACATGACATGTTAGGTCCAGGCTACAAAAATATTAAAAGAAATCTGGATATTTGGCACCTAGTAATGCAAAACTTATTTTGGGAACACACAAGGAAAACAACTGCTGCTGAGAGTAAAGCTTGGTCCTATAGTATTGCTTCCTTAACTCATCAAGATTTTCCACCTATAATTTCTAGGTCAAGAGCTCGACACCGATGAGAGAAGTGAGAAGCTTAAGAAAAATCCACACAAGGCATGAAATAGCGTGAAAACTGTCTTCAGATATCTTGGAATTTATTGTTTTATGAAAGGCTTTCACTTTTAAAAATAATTACCTCTATTTCCCTGACCCTAGTTTCTAAATCACTTGTTTGGGCACAAGAATAAAATGTCACAGCATATAATTTCATTGTCCTATGAGTGGAAAACTAATTTACTGGTTACCACCAGCTGTCTGTTGAGTAATTTGATACAGGCATTTCTCTGTATTAAGTGGAAAAATTTACTTGCTAAATCCAGATTTTTTTTTTTGTTCCTCTTTGTCTTCAATCAAATACATCTCAGACATACAATTTGCACTGCAGATTATCTAGGTCCCTAAATTCTATTTATCTTCTAAACCCTAACTAGGTTTTTGGTAATATCTGATTGGACCAATTTAATCAAATGTAAGTTTTTTTTTTCAATTATCTAGTTGTTGGCCATGACATGAATTTAATCAGGAAATGTACATCTGGTAGAAATGCTATGGAACTAAATGCAATTCATTTTTATGTTCTTCCTTGACACTATCTTTCTACCAGTTCAAAACTAACTCATGTATCATTAAAGAATGACAAAATAAATGCCTTATTTCAAATTTAATGCTATTAATGCACATTATGGTGGTCAATTTCTTTAAAAAATACAGACCATTCAGACTATACCTCTTGAATACAATCTTATACTAATTTTTTTTCTTTTGAAAACCCTAAATTGGGCTTTTGCTTTTTTCTCCTCCTCTTTTTCCTTCTCCTCCTCTTCCCCTCTTCCCTCCTCCTCCTTTTTTTGAGACATCATTTCTCTGTGTAGCCATGGTTGTCTTGGAACTCACTCTGTAGACAAGTTTAGCCCCAAACTCATATTTTATGGTGACAAAATTCAAGAATCATGTAATTCAAAATGAAAATATTTGGTGTTTCTTCAAATTATTTAGGTATTTAGCTTGTTTTTCTCACCTAAAAATAGATAGAATGGATTAAGATTCTCTTAGTTCCAACATCTTATAAAGATGCTAAGAGATTAGGACACAGAGCAAAGGCTGTATGAGACCAAGGACAAGATGGACACTATGTTCACAGAAAGGACCCTATGGGGAAAACCAAATCAACCAGACATTTAAAGACTTCCAGCCTCAAAGCTATGAGACAATATTTGTGTGTGTGTGTGTGTGTGTGTGTGTGTGTGTGTGTGTGTGTGTTAAACTGTATATTTGTTATGGAAGTCGAGTAAACCAATTTAATGAGCTATCTTCTAAACCTCCCTCCAACTTGATGAACTAGAATTTCTGAGGGTTGGTCCACAAGTTTGCCTTTTTTAGTATATGCCATAGGTAATTACTGTACACAATAGTTTGAGATTAAATTTTTGTGTAGGAATATATGCAAAATCAAGTAAGGTTGTCTTTTAAATGGAGAGTTGGTATTAATAAGAGTTCTTAGATCTAGGACATAAGGTGAAAAGTATTTACATAAATTTGATAACGAACATGTAGTATTTATTGTTAGCTCATGTACTAAATGAGGCTAAGAGACTGACAGACTTTAACATCTGAAACAGTTAAGTCAACCACTCCTCTAAGAAAATACAGTGCTTAAAATCTAAACACTAGTCTTTTTTTTTTTTTTTTTTTTTAAAGATTTTGTTTGTTTTATGTGCATGTATGTCTGTGTGAGGGTGCGGATCCCCTGGAACTGGGTATCAGACAGTTGTGAGCTACTATGTGGGTGCTGGGAATTGCACTTGGGTTCTCTCAAAGAGCAGCCCATGCTCTCAACTGCTGAACCATCTCTCTAGCCCAGAATAAATAAATACTTTCAATATGCTAATAGATATGAAAAAGATCAAAGCAAGTTATATAGGTACATAAAAATACAAGCTTCAACTACTGTCTTACAGAATTCAGAAACTGTAGTGTACAGCAGAAATAAAATACATAAAAGAAACATGTGATGAAACACTAAGTTGCAGAAACAAAGTCTAAACCTGCATCAAAGAACTATAAAACTTAACCATATTCATGGATTTGGCAGGTCAATACAGGAAGGAATGACTGGTCTCTGGTCTATAAGTCTAGGCCTAGGCTCATTTTAAAAGCTTTTTGCCCACAAGCCTGATATCTGAGGCTGTTGACAGTCTCAATTTTTCATGTGGGCTACTCTGGTTTTCTTCACAAACTGGAGTCTAAGAGTAAGTTTTGCAAGAGAAACAGTAATGCAACAGAATGACAGCAAGCCAGTTAAGGTGCTTTGGTCTAACGATGGTAGTCTTAAATAGAGCTGGGAGTGGCAACCTTCATGAGTATTTGGTTCTGCAAATATTGCTGTTTGTGGAATATGTAATCTGATAAAAGGTAATGTTAAGGTTAGTTTTATTTTATGCAAATAGACAAAATTTAAAATAGTCACAAACACTACTCAAGAAAACAGAAACCATGATTTATTTTAATAAAGAATTTAACATAAAAACTGGTAAACATATTTGGGGAGAAATGGAAACATCTACATAGAAATGTAAACACAGCTATAAAAAGGAAGGTTGGAACATTATAGAGACTGGGATAAATTCTCTATAAAATGGCAGAGAAAAACTACAGTCTGCCAAACAACCACCACCAAACTGCAGTAAATACTAGGCAAACATCTAAAAATTAGCCTATGCAAAGTGGACAAGAAAATTATTCCATGAGAGTACTGACCAAAAAGGACCCCAAGGAGGCTAAAGATAAGAAGACTTTAAGGCACAACGAGTAATTCACATTGATAAGCTACAATTCAGCAGGAAAATATAACAAGCTAGATTTACAGTATTAGTCACTGTTCTATTACTGTGAAGAAACACCATGACCAAAGCAACTTTTATGAAAGGAAGCATTTTATTGGGGACTTGTTTACAGTTTCACAAGTTTATTCTATTATTATCATCAGGTGGGGAGCATTGGGCTGGTACAGCATTGAAGAAATAGTCAAGAGCTATATCCTGATCTGAAGGTGCATGAGCGCACACACACCCACCACACCCACACACAGAGGGCTTGGGCTTTTGAAACTTCAAAGCCCACTCACAGTGCCACACTCTCTCCAAGAAGACCACACCTCCCAATCCTTCTAATCAAATATTTCCACTCCCTGGTGAGTAAACATTCAAATACATGAGCCTATAGGGGCCATTCTTACTCAAACCACCACATATGCATTTACTAATGTTTCCTCAACATATAAAACAGAAACACTCTCTGGGAATAAAAAGCAAATAAATAGGTTACTTTTAATATAACTTTTGATAATACATTAGTTTATTAAAAACGCATAATATAGAAAATTTAATAACATTAAAAGATGTACAGCACACAGCTCCTAAGGACTACAGAATGGAATGCATGTTTGAAATTCATAAAAACTATCATATCCTGGGCCACAAAGTGAGTCTGAAATGGATTTAAGGATCAAATAATCTTAATTTTCATTAGAATTTTTTTTATGTTAAAGGAGTGAAATTTTATTTTGTTCATGGCTAAGGGCATTGGAAGACCAAATGTACAGCACTGAAAATTATGTTGAAGTTCTTCCTGGGTCTCAACCTGTCCAGGACCTCCAGTGTGAGCCAGAAAAACCATTTAAGTCAAGTCACTTCCACCTTTGAAACTACAGGTGCTATGGCTTTTCCCTAGTGTCATGATCTCTAACCTAATCACTTTTCAAAATCTCACCTAAAATAGCATAGAAACTTGGAACTATGTTCCAATTGTGTGCTCTTTACAACAGCAAAAAGGATGTAAGAGTTGCAGAACTTCATCTCAGTGATACTGGATCATTAGGGATTTTTTAAACATGAGTTTTAAAATCATCAGTATTTTCCAAGCATAAAGCTTTTATGTTTACACGTTTCAGTTTAGGTGGAGCTTGGTTAAGAAAGAAAATGATCTAATTTTTAGGGCCATTCACGATATGAGGACCCTGGTAATCTCAAACCACATTTGGAACTTTGAAGGGATGAACTTTAAGGGTAAAGGCAGACAAGAAATAAGAGAATAGTAGTCTGAAGTTCTACCTTGAATCACAAATGATTTTAGTCCCCAGAAGAAGCAAAACCACATCTTTGAAGAGTAAAAATATTATCATATTAAATAATTTCTGCTTGGTTTCAAGTAAAATACTGGCAGGTATTAAAAGCATACTGGATACAAAGAACACGAGTCAGGTAACAGATTCCGAGGAAGGCTTTAGATACTGAAATGAGGCAGAAATGAGGCAGACTATGCTGCGTGGTCCTCTACAAGACCCACAACATCCCTTCTTGGGCAACTGACAAATGTCTGTAACTCCATATCTAGGGGATCTTATACCCTCTTCTATTACAGGCACCTGCATATACATGGTATATGGGTAAACACAGGAAAGTGTGAACATTTGTGGAAAAACTCACCACATACGCACGTATACAAGAAGTTAAGATTTTTTTTTCCAGTTTGCAAGTTTTCAAATGTATCTGGAGGATGGAAAATAGAACGGCTAAGAATAACCAAGTAACCAACACATTTTAATAGAAAAAAAGTAAGTTTGCAGGATGAATTTTGTCAAATATAAAAATATTATCAGCTACAGTGATGGAGGCAATATATTATCATTAGGACACAAAAGGAAAGGAATGAAGGTTCAATGGGAGACACACATTTTCTAATGCTACTTTGGTAGAAGTAGGGGGGAAAAAAGAACAGACTTTACTTAAGTACTGTTGCTAAAGTATTAGCCATCATGTTCAGAATTAACTCCTAAACAACTAAAGTGCTTAGAAGAAAACAGGGGGATCTGAGAAGATTCCCCCAAGCTGAGAATGAGGTTTTAATTACAAAACAAGAGACTTGTCCTGCTAGATATCTTACCTTTAGCTACAGAAGATATTTAAAACTATACAGACAATAAGAACATCATGATTTATAAAGGCCTTTCATGTACCAACATGAGGAAAAGCTATGTAACAAATCTGACAAGACACTTTTCAAAAACAAAACTAGAAATGGCCATGTGTAAAGATGCCTATCCTGCCACCCACCACACAGCCAGAATAAGAGTACAATGAACTACAACTGCATATTCACCACTGTCAAAATACAGAAAAACAGTCCAAACTGATCTCAATGTGGAGAAAATGAATGTTAGAGCAAAAGGATGGTGCATGGAAAGGGTTGGAAGGGGGGAAAGGAAGGAGAGGAAATGATGTAATTGTATTTTAATTTCAAAACTAAAATATTACAAAAGAATATTTACAATCAAGCAATTTTGAACCTAGACATCTTATGTGCAATAGAAGAGAAACAAAATACATTTATTATAGAACTGTAATTATCTCAAACTAAATACATCTTTATCATTCACAGTCAATACAACATAAACTGGTATATTAATGCAAAGGTAAACTATTACAGCAATGGTAAACAAAATATGGCTACAACAAATATAGGTGAATCACAGTGAATGAAAGACACAAAAGAATGTAGAACGATTCTTACATACAGTTCAAATGCAGGCAGAACTCAACTGTTCTGTTTAGATTTACATACTGAGAGGGTTACTACCACAAGAACAAGGCAACAGTTAATACAAAAAAAAAA